CTCAGGGCTGTACTTCTCCCCACTGTCTGTGGAGGATGCCAGGATCCAGCAGCCAAGCACAAGAGAGGCAGTTTTTCTCATCACTCTTTTGAAATTAGTTCATGGAGCTGGGGTATGTCCCTTTCTATGTTTGAGCACTCAGTTTCCAGCGGGGGTTCCTACTAAAGGTACCACGAGGCTACAAAGTGCCATAGGAGCCATTCCTATAAGTACAGCTATGCATTCATCCTTCCCCGCCCTTATGGAGTAATCCCTGCTAAGCAGAACATAGCCCCAAGATGTTTTCCACAGTTAAAATCAAAATATTTTTAAAAAAAGCAATTTAATGAGATGACACCCACACTCTCAGATGAAATCATTCTAGGTTACCATATTCCCTCTCTCCCTGCCCACTCCCTTCTTTTCTAGCATGATTTTAGCAGCTAATACCTGTATGAATGCCAAGAGTTGGGAATTATATAATGAGACAAACCATAACAGTGATGCCTGTTAATACCAGGTGAGGATCAAACCCTAGTGCCTTCCGTGTTTGAAAGCTGTGGTAATGAAATTTCACATGGCATATAGCTTTGGACTGAATGGAAAACTCTTGGTAGACAGAGGCAACTAAAATCTTTCTGGAACTGAAGTGGTTGGGGAAGGGCCAAATGGACATGAGGACAATGCTTCAAGAGGCAAATGGTGTTGCAGGGACAGCTAAGTGGGCAGGAACAAAATGATCCAGACAAGCATCATCACTGAGAGCAGGTTTTGGCCAGTTTTCCAGGGGATGTAGAGCAAATAGGGGTTGAATGCTGATCCAAAAGCTGTCACTGATGAGAGCAGTAAAGCATATTAAGATCTTCAGATGGAAAGTGCTATATATACTTCCTTAAGATCTTATTTTCATTTTAGTTAATTATTAAGTATTACTATATATTTTATTATTAACTAAATTTTATTTTTGAGGGTCAGGCAACTATGTAAGATCTTTGTTTGAAGACTGTATCCCACTTTCAGTATTTTACCCATCCTAAAGCCACTCTCTGTCCCCTGCGGTTCTCTTCTTGGGAATGAAAATGAGTAAGCGGAAATGGTATGGGACATCACAAATTTTGGTGGAAATTTCTCTTCTTTTTTTCTGTATTAATATGTTGTGTTTCAAACCTCTGTTAATTATTTTTCCTTGTTTAAAGCTGGGGTTTGTTCCTTTGGAGGGATGATTTCTTGTAAGTGGCTGTGAAAAGACATTTGGAGAGCAAATAGTCCTTTGGGAACAAAGAGTCACAACACAGAAAAACTGTTGTTGAGACTATAACAAAGAGCCTAGTGTGCCAACATGCAGCAACAATATTCAAGATAGGGAAAAAAAGGCCAGCATCTTCATTTGGGAGAAACAAAAAGCAGAACAAAGATGTAAACATCTGAAAAATTGGCAGATGGATCAGAGCTGTACACAACATCAGAAGAGAATGAGAAACTGCCATGTGTGGGAGTGGGTGAAAATGGAGAAGGTGCTTCTGTTATACCTTTGGGAATCAGAATAAATCAGTAACATTTGAGAAACCACAATGACAATTAAACTGGGTAGCTATGGAGCATTAAATTTATTGTCAAGGTAAGCAGCGGGAGAACCAAATCATCCACTGATATAAATCAGACTCGTGAAGTCAATGGTGCTAGAGTGGATTACTACTAACCCCACAATTTGTGTTATGATTCAGATAGTGGCAACATTGTTTATACGTATTTTGGATTACTTTGCAATATATAATATTATGCCAATAAAGTATTTGTGCGAAGTCTATTCTGGCTGATAATCAGGATAATCTATAGAGGCTCTCCTGTAAGCTGTAACCCATGGCTATAGCTCAACTCACTATGAGAAAACTCTGAAAGGCATTTAAAAATGTATCTTTTGTTAGACTGAGTATTTGTAAGTTGCTTTCTGGCAACAATGTCTGACAGGAGAAGACTGCATCTCCCTCACCTTAGGATCATCTTGGGCATTAAATTATTCATTTAAATAAAGTAAAAACAGTAGGAAACTTTAATGGTAAGAAGTAACATAATTTTCAACACTAAATGCTTGGGGATCCTATAAGGAAATCTGAAGGGCCAGACTTTCTCTCCTTGGTCTAACCCCATTTTCTTCTGGAGTAGACTACAGTTGACCTTTAAATAATTTCTCTTATTTCCAAAGAAGAATCTTGGTGGAGATGGAGTCAGAAAAGGAGCAGAGGAAGCAATTGCTCTACTCCCATAAACTCTTGGAAAATGGATGAACCCACTGGGGGGTCACAGTTAACTGCCACAAGTCCTTGGACCTGTTAGAGCAGGTCCAGAGGAGGGCCACAAAAATAATCAGAGGGCTGGAACACCTCTCCTGTGAAGAAAGGCTGAGAGAGTTGGTGTTGTTCAGCCTGGAGAAGAGAAGGCTCTGGGGAGACCTTGTTGCAGCATTGCAGTACTTAAAAGGGGCTTATAGGAAAGAGGGAGAGAGATTTTTACTAGGACCTGATGTAATAGGTCAAGGGCTAATGGTTTTAAACTGAAAGAAGGTAGGTTTAGATTGGATATAGAGAAGAAATTCTTTATGGTGAGGGTGGTGAGACACTGAAACAGATTGTCTAGAGAAGTAGTGGATGCCCCATCCCTGGAAGTGTTGAAGGCCGGGTTGGATGGGGCTTTGAGCAACCTGACCCAGTGAAAGATGTTCCTGTCCACGGCAAGGGGGTTGGACTACATGATCTTTAAAGGTCCCTTCCAACCCAAACCATTCTGTGATTCTATGATTCTGTAATTCTAAGTCACAGGAGCTCCAAAGGTGTTCAAATTCATACTAAGCCCTGAGCCAGATCTGGCACAGACCCCAGATAAGCTCCTTGCTTCCACACCTCTGCTGATCACCCTCGAGCACAACCAGCCTCCTTAGGGTACGACTTGCTGTTAAAAATAGGAAAATAACCAATCCTTACACTACACTCCCCCAGTGACAGTGTCACACTTAAACATACTAAGCTCCCCTAACTAGCTGATGGAGGCAATTGTAACTAAGAACATGATTTATGCAAGAAAAAGCTAATGCCACCATTAATTTGAGAACTTAAGGACAAAATATTGGCCCAATTTTCCCATGGCCTATATCAGTGGAATTCGGTTGATACCATCAGAGTTTTCCTAATTTGGTCTAATAAAGGCAAGAGGAAAGCAAGTAACTGTTACTTTAGTTTATGTGTGCCATAGTGAACAGTGAATACAGAAGGAGACTGCTGAACAAATTCTCCTTTGTATCACCCACAGGCAGGTCTAATGCACATTGCTGTTGAATGAAAAGCTTATCTCCCACCACAAATGTCCTTTAAGCAAATATGCAGAAACTTGCTGTATTCAAATTTAGGGATCTCATCCCGGGGCTGCAGCTGTGGCATCTAAAAATGTAGTTTTTTGCAATGACATGCAAGCTCACAAAAGAGGGAACTTGGGCATCCCTTGTGCTGATTGACTTCCAGGTCCTGCAATGTAACTTTGAGCAGCCCCTGGATGAAGAAATGCTCTGGCTGCTGCTGTCCCCTTTGTTTGATATAAGAATGCTGAACCCAGGGGAGTAGCTGAGTGAAATGGTTGTTTTGCTATAAATAATTCATAACTTTCCAAACAGCTTTCTTCAAATACAATAAAGTATGTCTTTCACTGAGGGTTTCCCTTTTAATTGTTAACCAATTTTTCTTTTTCAGAAATTAGAAAGAGAGAGATATCAGTTAAGCAGTGGGGTTTTTTGTTTGCTTGTCTGTTTTTGTGATGGCTGAAAAATTGGATGGATCTTGATCTTTCTTCACACACATTTCACATTGGAACTAACCTTGATCTTATTTCACACAAGTGTAACTACACAGACTTCGATGACAGCCTCTTGCTAATTATGTCACTGAAATGTAAGAGATTCACTGTACCGTTTTGCTCATACATAACAGCTTAAGCAGCTTTTCTTCTAACACTTGTAAAAACAAATTCTAGGTAAAGTACAGGAATGAAAATGAAATTTGGAACTAAGTATTCAGGAAAGCTACAAGACACTAAAAAAAAATAATTTGGAATAAAATGCATCTCTTCAACTAAAATACGAACCCTGTCACAATAGATTCATCAAACACTTTATTCATGGGAAGTTTCCCATGAAGATGTATTAAGTCTCAATGGGAAATATTTTCAGTGAGGTTTTACCAAGCAGAAAATATCCCTGATGTTGGTCAAGCTTTGGTGGTTTTTTTTTTTTAATCAATTTTACAATCAGCTCAGGAGCTAATTCAAGGAAAGCTACAAGCTGATAGTACGGATGATAAAACCAAATCAACCAGTTATTATACTTATTATGATAAGTGTAAATCTGCATACTTAGGAAGCTGAAATGTAGCTCCTGTTAGCGGTGGAAAAAATTAATATTATTTTTGCTTTTGTGATCCTGGGATGACAAGTTATGGGATGCTGGAATTCCCACACTTCTATAAGACAACTTGGCAAAGTGTATTCTAATAGTAAGTTGATACAGCTTATTATTAATTGCCAATTAATCAGATTGCCTTTCTGAAAGCTAGAATATATACATTCAAGATGTCAGTGTCTGCCTTATCTTAAACACACCCATTCTGAAAATATTTGACTGGTATTCTCTTACATATGAAGCACACAAAGCAATTTTATTGCTATATAAAGTTCAGAAATGTATTCTTGTAAGCTTTATATGCATATTTAATCTGTCTTTTATATATTTGATTTTTCTTTTAGTAAGTGATGGAATAAACTACACTTTTCTTTGGATGGATTATACTACATGCGAACTGCCTGTTACTCTTTCTGCAAGAATAAGAAAAACCCTTCAGTTTCATTTGTTAAATATCAGCCTGATAGCAGAAAGCTTCTGAATGGCTCACGCTCACAGCAGACCATCAATTGAATGGGCTCAGCACTTCTCCTACTAAAGTATCTGAAGTTAAGGATTTGGAAAAGAGGTTTTTGCAGAGATGACCCATTTACAAGCTGGACTTAGTCCAGAGACTATAGAGAAAGCTCGCCTGGAACTGAATGAAAACCCAGACATTTTGCATCAGGATATCCAGCAAGTCAGGGACATGATCATCACGAGGCCTGACATTGGGTTTTTACGTACAGATGATGCCTTCATCTTGAGATTTCTCCGAGCCAGAAAGTTTCACCAAACTGAGGCCTTCAGACTGTTGGCTCAGTACTTCCAGTACCGCCAGTTAAACCTGGATATGTTCAAAAACTTCAAGGCTGATGATCCAGGAATCAAACGGGCTCTGACAGATGGGTTCCCAGGAGTACTGGAAAATCGCGACCACTGTGGCAGGAAGATTCTTCTGCTTTTTGCAGCCAACTGGGATCAGAGTAGGTAAATGTAGATAGTGTCCTTATCTTTTTACATGCACTCACAGTCAACTTGTAACAGAATATTTGTGACCATACTTGAAGCAGCAAGGCCATTTTCAGTAAAATATTTTGTAACTATGAGTCAATTTCACTAAAACTTTCATCTGATCTCATCACCTCTCATTCTTCAGACATAACACCATTGAGAGATAAAGGTATATCTGTGTGTCAGATAAGTAGCTCATGGTTTTTTTCCATAAATATTTCCAGTTTTTAGATAGTGTCTGTCTGCTATAAATACATTAATGCCCATTATATAATTGCTTCAGTAATATCATAGACTAGCCAAATATGTTCACAGAAAGCAAATGTCTCAAAACATATGGGGGTTCTCATAGCTTTTCTGGTGCAGAAGGAACTGACCATATTTATTCTGTCTCCAGACTTCTTAACAGATCTTTTTTTTTTGTTTGTTTTAACCATTTCACTTATTACAGACTGTGTTATGAGATTTCCACAAACTGCATTGTAATTTCTGCACACTCTGGTTACTGCATGCTTGTTAGTCTGATAAATGGGAGATTAATGCAAAACGTATTTTCTGTTCAGGTAATTTCTTTACAGAATAGTATGAACAAAGATATCTCCCAGCCATATTATAAAATGATGTCCATAAATGTTAATGTGATTGGTCAGCTTTCACTACCTATTTGAAGTGATACAGAGAAAAGGGGTTAGTCCAGGAATATCATGTACACATTGTCCTCTTCATCAGAGGACATTTTCCCTGCCTTCACAATGAGATGGAGAAATGTAGTCAGCTGTAGGATTGCCATGTGTTCTGCTGATTTTTGACAAAAATCAGACCAAAAAACAAAATTCAGGTTTAGGTTTTGAGTATCGTAAATTCTGATGAGTTCCAGGTAGGTTTTTGTCTTGGTATGGTCTAAAGTTGTCCATGAAAGTGTCTCATCCTTAGGAGTCAATAGATTGGAGCTTTGAATTTATGTTATAGAAATTATTAGAGAATAATACACTTATGTCTGCAATTTTTCATGTTAGTGGTTTTCTGGGAAAACCTTTCATCTCCATTTGAAGACAGAATTCAGATGTGTTCCTAATTTTCCTTTGCATATACAGATCTGATAAATAAATGTATAGAAAAAGTTATAGAAATGTAACTTTGCATATACAAAAGTATTTGGTGAAATCCAGAACTGAAGACAGTGCTAAAAGTCCTATTGACTACAAAAGGGGTCAGCAGTTTATCTTTTGTCTTTCTGAACTGTAAGCTTGCCTTTCTTCCAACCACAAACGCCTTCCCTTGGCAATTGACCTGAGATGAAGGATGAACAAACAGGTATCTTGAATTAATAGAAATTATCAGCTTTAGAGGACAGAAGCACTGTGGCTCTGCTGGTTGCACTAAGGGATTTAGGTATTATGTAGAGTCAGCTTTGGGTTTCTGATCCCTCAGCAAAATGAATCCTTGTGATTAACCCTGTACATCAGGTCCTGCTCTGGGAAAGCTGAGAGTGCTGCTGGCTAAGGCTCCTGCACTGAGATTTTGACAGAACATTGATTCTTTGTCAGGTTTTTGGCTCAAATTTTCTGCAAGTCCTTTAATATGCATCCATGCATATGTGTATATGTGTGTGTGTGCAAAACACAAAGTGATCCTGCATGCAAGATACCTTTTTTCTGAAAACGTAATTTTAACCTTCAAAGAAGAAAGGCTGAGACTAACAGGATAGAATATACTTTCCTAAGATTCCTCAGTGAAATTAAAAATTTTACCTCTCTTCAGCCACTGAAGCACAACTCCTCTATGGATTCAAATGAAAAGAAGTGTCACTTCCATGGGCTTTTGTAGTACTGCAAGTGCTGCAAGGATTTGGGACAGGATTTAGGCTGTAAGTAAATAGAGGGATGACATCCTCCTTCTTTACTGTCCAAATCAACAATAGCAAACGCTGTTAAGGAACAGGAAATGATGAATGCAATGTCCTGTTAAGCAGAGGGGAAGCAGGTTATTGACCAGAAGAAGTATGTATTCATATATATGTCACAAAAAAAACCCCAAACAAACAGGCATTGTGTATATCTTACAAATGTATACCTTGGGCAACCTTTCTATAGGCATGTCTTCAGTGATGGCAAGATGCTTACAAGCTTACCTTTCAGCTGAATGTTAATGCAATCAATTCATATGTTGTTGTGATGCTGATATGCAAGAGTAAGAGCTCAGCCTTCAGCATGCCTTTACTAACTTTAATCTCATTTGCAACTGGCTGTGTCTTCTCTTCCTTTATCATGAAGTCATAATGATAAGGGGTCATTTATAAAGAAATCATAGCTTATAAAAGATCATTTAAAGCCAGCATGTCTATAATCCATAAACTGGTATTTTAGTCCAGATATTCTTACCATTTATACTCCTGGCAGTATGGTGGCTGTATGGATCACATGTCAAGGAGGGAGAAGCAGCCTCATAACTTTCTGATATCACAAATATATTGATTTTTAAAGGGAAATATGATTATTTGTGTAATGTGACTGCTTGGACAAATCAGATCTCAGATATTCTGAAAGGATTCCCTGTATTGAAGATAAAACTTCTATACGATCTTTTAGAAACATTTGCAATTCTAGCTTCAAGAATGTAATTGATAGATCTAACATCTCTAGAAAACTAGGTTTTCATTTCCACTCTCAATGTTTCGAGCTTCAGCTTCCAGTTGCTGGATTGTGTTAGTTTAAAGGGACCACAAAAATATGACAGCTTCCCAAGTTTGTACTTTTTTGTCCTGACCATGTCATCTTTTAGCCTACTTTTGAATTCACTGAGGATGCAGCACTGTAGGGTAAGTTACTGTCAGGCAACAAGAAGACAGTACATTAGCTACTTTACAGCAGTGGTTCTTGTGTTCACTTTTAACCATGGTGAATATAAAACAGCTGGCCCTCTTTTCCTTGAGGGCAAAACAACCTTGTGTTGTCCACAAGGTAAAGAACATGTGAGCAGCCAGCACAGCAAAGATAATGTTCTGCAAGGTATTGCACTAGTTTAATGTGTTGCAATATATTTATGCTACCAAAGCTTAAATAGATTGAACTTCTTTATCCTTAGAATTAGGAAGATTTTCCAGGTTGCTAATACTCTTCATCAGTATTTTCTGGACCTTTCTTATCATTTTAGTGTTGTTGCTAATGTGCAGACAGCTGAACTGAATATAAACTTTCACTAATAAACCATCATGTGGTAACACCCTGTCTTCTGCTCAGTAGTTCCCTCCTTTTAGATACAAGATTGTCACTGTTTTCTTAGCTACTCTATCACATTTTGAGCTCATGTTCAGCTCAAATCTGCTTCCAAGTCACTGTTTCCTAAAATACAAACACCACTGGTAAATGTGTCATACATTCTCATCCATAATGTGGGCACAGTCTAGCATGTGATTCACGCTTTTCTGCAGAGCTAAACCTGTCCTCCTCATCAATTATCATTGCATCGGTTTTGTGACATCTGCAAAGTTCACTGGCAAGAATTTTATTTTTGCTTCCACATCGTTGAAAAAGATGGTGATTATTGTTTTGACCAAAACCGCCTTGGTGACTAGGAAAAAACCACAAGGAATGATAATTCTTATCTCCAAATCACTATCTGAGATCTACCATGGTGCCAGATTTTCATTCATTTAGCATGGGCTGCACTGTTTGATTTTGCTCTGGTTTTTAGACAGGTTTCTTAGCGGTGATGTCATCACTTTCTTTCTAGGTATGTCCTGCATGGTATATTTTGGATCTGTTAGTTAATGTCAATCACATATGATACAGAACAGAAAACTTCAGAGGTATTGAATAAGTGAAAATGAGCAGATGGATAGAAAAGAAAGAGATCAGATTAGTTCCACACCGAGGGAGAGGAAAAATGTTGAGCTACATTACTGTACGCTAGAGAATCAATGCAGGGGAAAGCCATCATTCACTTAGATCAGAGCTCAGTCCTCAGAGGTGCAGAATAATCTGACTACAAGGTGTGAACTCACCCAAAATCCACAAAGGCTTCACAGATACCACTGCTTACAAAGCACCTTATTTTTACATGGAAATCATGGAGTGATAAAGACAAGTAAGGATGTCAAACCCATCTTGTCAGGAACTTTTCTGATGGAATAGCTTGCATCATAAAAAAATCTCAGTTTGTAAAACAAATACATGCGTGCATACAAACGTACAGTTTTGATGAGACCTGAACCAGGATTTCCCATAAAAACAAATGTGCCATGTGCTGGATTACAAATACTCTTTCTCACACTTTTTCGTTTTATCAGTCTCACCAAACCTACACCCTCACTGCTCTAATGCACCTCTAGTGAATCTGAAGCTTTTAAAGAAGTCAGGTAAGAGTGCCTTTTCGGCTGTTGGATTGAGGAAAGACTTCAGTAACTACTGCAGCTGTTCCTAGGTCTGCTACTGCCTTCTAATATATCCTGCTTGCACAATGGGGAGATGGGGGGTTTGGGTGAACAAGTAAGTCAGCAGAAGGCGTTCATTAATCTTTGAAGTAAAGATATTTCCTTCAAGGTTGTTCAGCCAGAGTAAAATTTATTTCTGTGTAGAGAGCCAGCACGAGGTCTATCTCCAATCATGATCCTCTGCGAATAGGGTCTTGGGGTAGGGGGGCAGAAGGTTGCCCATTGTCTTTTGCAGCAAAATGGTAATTAATTTCTATCTTCATGTCTGGACTGTTGCATCTTAGAAGCTGTCACAGAGCTCCAAAAATTCTGTGAGTCAGTCAGATGGAAAAAACTGCTGCTTTGTTTACAACATACATTCCCAAGTCAGCTGCTAGCCATAAATTCTCTTTTATTAACCAAGGAGCCTTAAATGTCAGATACTTACCATTCTGTAGGAAAGTGTATTGAGATAGACTAAAGGGCAAGGAAATACTCTGACATAAAGGTAAATCGACAGCTATAAATATTTTAAAGGATCGCAACAGAAAAAATGATGTCCTTGTTGA